TCAGGGATGGGGACTTGCTGAACATCATGCAAATACCAAGAAAGCAATCCCACAAGCACACACGGCTTATTTCTCCTCTGGATTAAGTAACTTCCTCCTCCCAGCACTCAGGGCTCTCTCTCGGGCCTCCTTTGCTGTGTAGCCCCATGACTACCACCAGGAGCCTGGGGTCCCTTGTCACACTGGGTCCTGGTCATCCGGTGCCCGCTGCAGGGAGCTCTCCAAGGGTAGGATGTCTCTGACTAAGAGTCAGGACATCAAGGGCACCAGATGAGGAATTGGCCCAACACCGTTGCCATGGCAGCGCCTACTTGACTTGGCCTCTGACCAAACGTCTAGGCTGGTGAACAAACAGGAGGGAGCAAGGATGACTCAGGGCATCCCCGGTCATCAGGAGGATGACTCGGCTGTTCAGCACAAGGGGACAGGCGGGAGGCCGGTTTGGGGTGATGGGAATTTCTGCAAAGGGCTTGCCTTCCCTGAAAAGCCGAGGTTTGCTAAAGGGCAGAGATCATCTCTCGGTCATCTCCACATCCCCCTGCAGAGCCTGCTGGCTCTAGGCAATGTCCAGTAAGGGGTGATTCTGTGTTGTCCAGCTAATGCCAATTTGTGTGCCAGCATAGTCCACAGTGTTGTTCAAAGCAAAAATCCCTTCTGATACTGCAGATAGCATTTTTCAATTAATGAAATAGAAGAGAAGTAAAAAGGAAAAAAAAAATTGAGCCCTGGCTTGTTTGGCTCCGTGGATAGAGCATTGGCCTGCAGACTGAGGGGTCTCGGGTTTTATTCCAGTCAGAGGCACATGCCCAGGTTGCGGGCTCGGTCCCCAGTTGGGGGGCATGCAGGAGGCAGCTGATCAATGGTTCTCTCTCATCACTGATGCTTCTGTCTCTCTCTTCCTCTCCCTTTCTCTCTGAAATCAATAAAAAATGTATTTTAAAAAAATTGAGAGTGCTTCGTGTAATAATAGTAAGGGTCAGTATTATTCTCTATGAAGTTGTTTTTGTTTTTGTTTTTCGTGGAGAACAGGAAGGGTGTATGTGTGGGTGGTGGTGGTGGTGGTGGTGGTGGGTGTACTGGGTCCTGATATAGAATGTATTCTTATTCCAGGTCACGGTCAGAAAGGTTTGAAAAACAGTGGTTTAAAGAATAATCTTAGGTAGACACGTACTTGACCAGTTTCCTGATGATAAAAACATTGAAACTGAATCATCATTTACATCATTCATCTGCTCATTCATTATTCATCCCAAAAAGGTCGTCTAGAGTTACCTTCCCCGTTGAGTCCACCTTGAGGTGCGAAGGTGAAACTTTCGGGGACCATGGACTGGCTCGGTATGGCTGGAGCCACTTATGAGGCAGCAGGGGCCAGGAGAGGCGTGTGACCGGTGCCACCACACGTCCGCCCATCCTCAGAGGAGGAACTTTGTTTGCTGAGTTTTTGTGGTTCAAGCAGAATGAGGAGTGTCCTCTGAATTACAGACATTCTGTCTGTTCCCCCTCACCCTGCCAGTTGACTTAAATAATTCAGCACCTATGTACTGAAACTGTCCTATTGTCCCTCAGTTATGCCATTGCTGGTCTTGTCTCTCTAGTTGATTCATAAACTGCTTAAATGCACCTTCTGCTTCTTTTGCATCTTCAAAATGCCTAGCATGGTTGGGAATATAGCAGGTATTCAATAAGAGCTTCCTACTTACTGACAACCACTCATTATTCAGGCCCCATGCCTTCATTCCTCGTTTCCTCCTACCATAGAGAATTTATCCTATGGCTTTGTGTGTCTCAGCTGCCTCCTTTGCTTAAATTGTGAGCCCACTGAGAACAGGAGTGTATGAATTCTGTCCACCACAGTGTCCTCTGCCCCTAATACAGCACAGTGCCTGCCTTGTTCATCATATCTTGCTATCCTCAGCGATTGGCACTTTGTAGGTGTATCTGTTAGTTATCACCATCATAATGCTGAGTAACAAACAACCCCCACTATCTCAAAGACATACCAAGTTAGCATTTGTGTTTGTGGGGCAGCTCTGAGCTTTAGTTGGGCACTCGATTGGTTCCGTGTCTCTCTCTCCCCCTCCTTAGACCAGCAGGTTAGACAGGGCATGTTTCTCTCATGATGATGGCAGAGGCACAAGAGAGCAAGTTCAATTGCACAGGTGCTCTGCAGGCTTTGAGTTCCATCGTGTTCGTGAACATACCTTTGGCCAGAGTGAGTCGTCAAGCCCAAAGGCAAGGAGCGAGAAAGCACATTCTCTGCCTTTGGAGCCTGGGACCGGGTCATACTTCTGACGAAAGTCTCAGAGTACGTGCTGAGGTTCTTGCTAAGTGAGCGTGGAATGGGAAGGGAAAAGAATACTTAGATTCCAGAGATTTCCACAGGTCTCTTTCCCTCCTCACATTGAGCTCTCCAGAGAAAACGAGAGCCTTGTCTGACAGATAACCACCCAGCAGGGGAGTTCCATTTGTTGGACAAGTCCTCGGAAGTGACTGCAGCAGAGTAACCAACAACTCTTCCCCCCACCTTCCCCCTCCCCCCCCCCCCCACACACACACCCAGGGATAGCAGCCGCCTCTCAGGAGAAGAATTTGTAAATGTAGGCACTTCATTTTATGCATTTAAAAATATCCTGAGGCAGGACCCACCAGATGGCTAAAGGGGGCAGACAGAATGCTGCTCTGCTTTGTGTCCTGTGGAAATTTGCATACAGACCAATGCCCGCATGTTTGTTTAAATTAGTAGGTCAGGGATTCAATAGAGATCCTCCAAGATGGCTGCGCCCAGGTGAATACCTAGCTGCAGCCTCACACAACAATTTCAATAAAATACAACTAAAATATAAAACGGACATTACCCAGAACTACAGGAAAGTTGACTGACTGGAAATTCTACAACGAGAAGCAAGAGAAAACCAGAAGGAAGCGCGGAGGAGCTGGTAAAGCCGAAGGTACGGAGACACGCGGCGCGCGGAGAGGACGGAGCTGGAGAGGAGGGAGGCGGAGTGCCTGGCGGGCGTTCCCTGGCGGGAAGGAGATAAAACTCTGACTGTGCTGGGCCCCCGACTACTCTGAACCCAACCCTAGGCCAGACCCCGGGGACTCAGGCTCAGCCAGAGGGAGCTGGGCTGCAAGGCGGAACCCGGGGAAGCTGCGAAAGGAGGTCCCGGCGGTGCACACATTGTGCGCAGAGAAGGGACGGCCAGCTGTGCCGCGGGATTGCCTGGTGAGAAGGAGACAGGGGCTCCAGACTGCTCTGAACGCCACCTCCAACTCCACTTCCAACTGAACTGAACCCCAATACCGGGCTCATTGGGGAGAGCATTGACTGTCTGGCAGCAGGGGATCGAGGGCGCCTTTCTCTCAGAGGCGCCGGCAGCGAGCACTGAAGGACCCGCATAGGGCGGGGCTGACGGAAGCCAAGGCTGTAGGCTCCACCCTGAAACCCCGCCCCATCTGTAGCTGCGAAATGCGACAACGAAATAGATCACAAACGAAAGAAATGGAGGACAAAAAGCGGCTGGATATAGAGTTCAAATCTACGCTTATAAGGTTTTTCAAGAATTTCCTAGAAAAGATGGATAAGACCTATGAGGATATGAAAAGAAATCAACTAGAATTAATAAGGAGTCATCAAGAAATGATAAGGGAACAACAAGAAATAAAGAATACATTGTCTGAAATAAAAAATATTTTACAGAGTCCTAAAAACAGAAGGGAAGATCGCAAGAATCAAGTCAAAGATTTGGAACATACAGAGCCAGAAGACACTCCTCCACAGAAGCTAGAAGGCAAGAGAATCCAGAAAATTGAAGATAATGTAAGAAACCTCTGGGACAACTTCAAGCGAACGAACATCAGAATTATGGGGGTCCCAGAAGATGAGAGAGAGCAAGATATCGAAAACATACTGAAAGAAATAGTGACAGAAAACTTCCCCCACCTGGTGAAAGAATTAGACTTACAAGTCCAGGAAGCGCACAGAACTCCAAACAAAAGGAATCCAAAGAAGACCACACCAAGACAAATCATAATTAAAATTCCAAGAGCAAAAGACAAAGAGAGAATATTAAAAGAAGCAAGAGCAAAGAAGGTAGTTACCTATAAAGGATCACCTATACGATTGTCAGCTGACTTCTCAACAGAAACCATGCAGGCCAGAAGGGAATGGCAAGAAATATTCAAGGTGATGAATAGTAAGAACCTACAGCCAAAGATAATCTATCCAGCAAAGCTATCACTCAGAATCGAAGGTCAGATAAAGAGCTTCACTAATAAAAAACAGCTAAAGGAGTTCATCAACACCAAACCAGACTTATATGAGTTGCTGAAGGGAGTTCTTTCAGAAGAGAAAGTAAACAAAGATAAAAATTATGAACAACAAATACGTAACTATCAACAAGTGAATCTAAAAACCAAGGAAATTAAAAAAAAAATCTGACGAACAATAGTAACTGTTGAATATAATAGAATCAGAGGTATGGAAGGGGAGTGAACTGACGATTCTTGGGGAAAAGAGGAGAGGGGGGCGTGGGAAGAGACTGAACATAAACTGTGCACCTATGGATGAGGACAATGGGGAGTGGGGAAAGGGCAGAGGGTGGGGTGGGAACCTGGTGGAGGAGAGCAATGGTGGGGCGGGGGGGGGGGGGGGGAGGAACATTTGTAATAATATGAACAATAAAAACTTATTTAAAAAAAAAATAAAAAAAAAATAAAACTTTAAAAAAATAAAAAATAAAAAATAAAAAAAAATAAAATAAAATATTCAATAAAAAAAAAAATTAAAAAAAAAAAAATAAATTAGTAGGTCAGGGCCTTGAGGCAAGCTTTTCCTGGTAAAATAGCTAGATATCATTTCTGCAGAGAGTCTTGGCTGTCACCTGGGTTTGTGGTCCCGGCTCCGGTGCAGTTCAAGGCTGCGCATAGTTTGACGCCCCTCCTTTGGTTAGCCAAAAAGTAACAATCTGCTCTCCTCTTATCCCCTCTTCCCCGGCCCGCAGGAGTGCTGTGCCTGCCGGACAGCCTGAATCTGCACCGGGACCCGCAGCGCTCAAACAAGCAGGGGGACGTGCCCATGTTCAGCCAGTCGGAGCTGAGGACCATCGAGCAGTCCCTGCTGGCCACCCGCGTGGGCAGCATCGCGGAGCTGAGTAAGTGGATGCATGTTCTCTTGCCCTCTTCCTTCCTGAGGTGCCCCCACCCCAGGGCAGTACGGGATAGCCAGCCAGATGGCACCTTCCAGTGAATACCTGCCGTATGCACAACACAGTGCCACGATGGCCGTGGAACAGGCGGGGCCTCTATAGTCGGGCAGGCCTGGTCAGTGCCCTGGCCCTGCCGCTGATGCGAGTCAGCTGCCTAACCTGTTCTGAGCCTCAGTTTCCCACAACAGAGAGAGTAATAGTTCCTCCCTTAGAGGGTAGCTGGGGTGATTGGAGGAGCTATGCCCATAAAGGAGTTTGCTCTGTGCCTGGCACCCAGTGAGGGTGTATGAATAGTGTCTGTTCACTTGGTTGTCACTACGGGATGCCTTTAACACATATGTCAGATCTCTCTCTCCTCGAGTCTGAATCCTCCTCTGATTCCCATCTGATCCAGGGGAAACCCCAAGTTCTCAGAATGCTTCCAGGCCCCCCCACCCAGGTCACTCAGACATCTTCCACTCTCCCCTCTGGCCCACTGAAAGGCAGCCACCTGTCCCCACGATGTTCCTTAAACACAGCAGGCGACCGCAGGACCTTTGCACTTCCTGGCCTATCTTCCCGGACCACTCTTCCTCCAGATACCCACAGGGCTTACTCACTCATGACCTCCAAGCCTCACCCCAGGATGACCTTCTCAAGGAAGCTTTTCCTGACCATCTCCCCCCACCACACACACACACACACACACACACACACACACACACACACACACACACCAAACTGGCCTGCTGGCTCATATGTTGGAGCATCATCCCATACACCATGGGTCAGTGTGTCCAATTCCCCGGTCAGAGCACATACCTGGGTTGCGAGTTCAGTCCCCGGTAGGGCCAAGTACATGAGGCAGCTGATCGATGTTTCCCTCTCTCTTCTCTCTCCCTTCCCCTCTCTCTCTCTCTTTCTCTCTCTCTCTCTCTCTCTCTCTCTCTCTCTCTCTCTCTCTCTCTCTCTCTTTCTCAAATCAATAATTATGATCCCAGGAGGATCTTTATCCTCCTTCACTGCCTCACCCTTCTCTCCAGCAGTTACCCTAGTTTTTGTCTTTTTTTTTTTTAATAACAGCTTCACTAAGATATAATTGAAATACAAATCGCCTATTCAGAATACACAATTCAATGATTTCTAGTATGTTTCCTGAGCTCTGCAACCATAACCACACTTGGTTTTAGAACATCTTCATTACCCCCAAAACCTGAAGCCATTAGCAGTCACTTCCCTTCCCTTAGTCACACCCTATATCACTCATCTGTGTTTTTAATTGTCTATCTCTCCCTACTACTGTCTAGTCTCACGGAGAGTAAAGATTTTGTTTTGTTCGTTGATGTAACCCCAGCACCAAGAATACTGCCTGGCACATAGTAGGTCCTCAGGAAATACTAAGAGCAGGGAAGAGGAAGAAAGAGAGAGAGACAGAGAGAGGTGGCGAGAAGGGAGGGATTGTCAAGAAGGTGGGCATGCCACAGTTTGAGCAATGGCATGTCACGCTCGCACCCCCTCATTTAGGGCTGCGCTCTCTGAACCCGCCCACCAGAGTAAAGTGAAACCGTACTTACTTGGGATCCCGTTGGCTGTCAATGACTTAGCTGTGTGTTAGTTCCTGGTGGGACTAGAGCTTTGAGCTCAGAAACACGTGGCTTGCTTGTGCTGAAGAATGAATGGAGGTGAGAGTCTGGAAAATCCAGAGCTGTCCAAAGCTTCGGGCACCTCCTCCCGTGGGAACTCCCTGCACAGGACAGGCGTGTGGAGCCTCTGAGAAGCGAGGCAGCCTCCGTAGAGGGTCCTTGCGATCACTACATCTGTTCCCCCGGCACCTGAACCTGGAAACTGCATTTCCATTCTCACCAAACCCCCAACGTCACGAGATGCCCGCCGTCACAGGGGCTCCCCTTTACCCATCATTCACTTAATTTTTCTTAAACGTTTGGGCGCCTTGCCCCCTTTAGCCATCTGGTGAGTTCTGCCTCAGGATATTTTTAAATGCATAAAATGAAGTGCCTACATTTACAAAAAAAAAAAACAATTACACTAACATTTTCATCTAAATAGTGGCGTAGGAATTCTGTGCTTCTTCAGGAGCACATTTGCAAGTTTTTGCAGCGGCTCTGATGACCCCATTAGTTGGAGGCGGCAATGTGTGCGGAGATATTCTGAGATATCTGCAGCCATTGGAACGGGATGAGGGAACGTCTGCTTTTAACAGCTCCCCGGGGGTTCAGCTAGAGGGTCCGAGTAGCATCACTCTCAGAAGCAATGCTAAGATGCACCCAGCGCAGGAGCCTGGAAATGCAGAACCCGACCACAGTGCGGTCAAATCTGCATGGACGTACGTGGGCACCACACCTCTGGCTCACACACTGTGATCTCTGTGGTCTCAAAGGTTTGTCCTGGGGTATCATTAGGACCCCTCAGGAGGCAGCCAACCAGTGATTCTCTCTCATCGTTCATGTTTCTCTCTCTCTCTCTCCCTCGCCCTTCTTCTCTGACATTAATAAAAATAATTGTTTTAAAAAGAAGCAGAAGAAGAAGAAAGGATTTGCTAAAATAGCCTCACGTCACCTAAGCAGGCAGCCTGCAGGAGCAGCTTGCGGCATAAATGGTTTTTAAGGACGATTTGCTCTGCAAATTAAACGCTGTCATTGCGGTGGGATGTTGACTTTCGCATATGAATTGTTGGCACACAAATGGGTGCCGCTAATTGCCAGTGGGTTTTGTACCTTCATTAAGCGGCCCCATAGAACATATTCGAGGGAGCGCCTCGGTAAGCCACGTGGGCGACAGGAGATAATGAAATTGCCTTCTTTTCCGACCTGCCTACAGTTTAGACGGGCTCACACTGTGGTCTGAATCGATACCGCCTGGCTCTCTGTGTACAAAGACCTGTTCTTCACATGCAGAGGTTAATCTGCCAGAGTGGGGTCTAGAAACCACTGCTTTTCCAGAAAAGACGAAATGGGGAGAATTTGTTCCTGGCTCTTCTTGAATCCGGCTGTCGACCCTCACCCTGACCTTCTTAATAGCCAATAATCATATCAGCAGCAGCTGATGTTGTTGAACTAGGAAACTATGAAAAACCTATATGAATTATCTCCTAGCTAGCTGTTACTGTCCACACTGACATTGGAGTGGAGGTGAGAAGAGGATAAACAACTTGTCTTAGATCAACCTCACCTGTGAGCGGAAGGGCTGGAGGTTGGACCCTCTTACGGCTTGGGGTGAAAACACACCCACTATTTCTGGAGCCCTTACTGTGTTCCAAGTGCTTTAAATACATTAAAGGTATTATTGTTCCCATTTCACAGATAAGAAAACTGAGGCCTGGAAGGATAAATGCTTGCCCCAAGGCAGAGTCATAATTCAAACCCAGGTTGTTGTTTTTTTCTTTTTCTTTTTCTACTCTGCTGTGCTGTGTCCAATTCAGTGTTGCCTTCTGAGCACCTGACACATTGTCCCTAGCTTGGGGACTATCAGTTGCATTCAATGGAATAAATGAGTGACTCACAGTGAAGTAGTCTGTAAAAAGTAAATAACGGAAGCTGAAGAAAATGTCACAGGTGAGGGGAACTCTTCATGAAACTCCAATAAAATGGTCAATACTCGATTGAACTGAATTTTGAACTCAGAGAATTTTGAACCTCTGTATGTCTAAAATATTTGAATGAAAAGCTAAATCAAGATACCACAAAGGTCCCCAAACATTCACCGGCTGGTGATTCTTCAACCAGAAGCCCTAGGAGATTTGCTGGGTGATGTACTGAATATCACGAGTGACGTAGAGTCTGGCAGGCGATCCAGGTCTCTTTCCCTGAACCAGCCAGGAGGTCTGGGGGTGTTGGGTTCGCCCAGTCTCCCCACTGAAGCCAGAGGGAAAGCAGAGGCCCTGGATTTTCTCACTTTTGAACCAAATCAACTCTGCATTTGGTCCTGCCCCATTCCATATCCGTGTCCTCTGAGATCTTGCCTCGCCTCTGCTGGGAGACATCCCAGTTTTGCCCCCAAGCTCCCAATTAACCGCCCCTTGGACAGTCATTAATTAGAGTGATTGCTTCCTGTTGTGTAAAGGGACAAACCAAGGACTTCATTAAAAATGCCTCCTCCTCCTATAATCTTTTCACACTTAACCATGAACTTGTTGCTCCCACTCAATGAGGCAATCACAACTGGGGCCATTAATTTACAACTGTGTGCAAAAGGGTTTCTGAGTTGTCTATCCAATGGGCCACCAGGAAAAAAAGGGGTGGGGGGAGGGAGAACAAAACAAAACAGCCCTGATTGCTTGGACAAGGGGGTCTCTCTCCTTGTTTGAAATGCAGAGGGGCTCTTCCTAGAGAGTCTAGCAGCCTCCAGTCCCAGGCTTGTGGGAGGTTTGAACACGTGCTGTAGTGAGTGGTAGCTGACTGCTGAGTCAGAGGCGCCAACTGCTGGCATGTGAGGCCCCTTGTCCCAGGCCAGTGGTCGACAAACTCACTAGTCAACAGAGCCAAATATCAACAGGACAATGATTGAAATTTCTTTTGAGAACCACATTTTTTAAACTTACACTTCTTCTCATGCCACTTCTTCAAAATACACTCGCCCAGACCATGGTGGTTTGTGGAAGAGCCGCACTCAAGAGGCCAAAGAGCCGCATGTGGCTCCTGAGCCGAGGTTTGCCGACCACTGTCCCAGGGCACTTACCTCAGGAGGATGGCTTCGTCGCAGATGCGCTGATAGCCTGAGTCTGGCAGGTTAGAGCAGCGTTTCCCACACAGCAGCACGGGAGACGGTTGTAGGTGATACAGAAAACACTTTAAATTTTTAACTTGCATGAATTTTTTATGAGTACTAGAAAAATAGCGGTTTTTCATTTATGGCACTGATAGGAGTTTTCCTTTTCAAATGAATTTATTTGTGGGGAAAGAATGAGCCAACTTAAAGAAAATATTAAGTAAATAAATTGAACCCACGGCACACGGAGTACGAGGGGAGTCATGATGGTGATTCCCATATGGTTACACATGGATGCTCAAGTTGGTTCCTACAGCCAAATTCCCGCTGCCCACACTCATGGCAGCTCATTCCAAGTGATTTATGGTTTGGGGGTCATGAAGCTGGCAGGTGAGGCAGCAGAGAGCACAGACATAAACCAGGGTTGACAGTGGACGAGTGATTGCAGAATCCCTGTGCCAATTTCATCTCCCACAGCCAGCCCTGTTCAGAGACATCCTTGGGGCCTCTGATCCAAGGACCAGGCTGGAAGCGATGATGGTGATGGTGATGGTGATGGTGATGGTGATGGTGATGGTGATGATGGTGGTGATGATGATGTTGATGAAAATGATGATGAAATGATGGTGGTGATAATGATGATGATGGTGATGTTGATGGAAATGATGGTGATGATGATGGTGATGGTGATAATGTTGATGGAAATGATGGTGGTGGTGGTGGTGATGATGATGGGATGGAAATGATAAATGATGATGGTGGTGATGATGATGATGATGATGATGATGATGGAAATTTTGATGCAATGGTGGTGGTGATTATGAAAATGTTGATGGAAATGATGATGATGATGTTGACAGAAATTTTGATGAAATGATGGTGGTGATGTTGACAGAAATTTTGATGAAATGATGGTGGTGATGCTGATGTGATGGAAATGATGATGGTGGTGATGACGATGATGGGATGAAAATGATGAAATGATGATGATGATGGAAATTTTGATGAAATGATGGTGGAGGTGATAATGAAAATGTTGATGGAAAAGATGATGAAATGGTGATGATGATGATGATGATGATGATGATGTGATGGAAATGATGTTTTAGCTGTATTAGCAGGTGTTGCAGGTACACAGGGGAAGGGGAGGTTGATTCTGACTGGGGGCATTCTGGAGGGCTCCATGTAAGAAGAGGCATTTGATCACAGCCTTGAAGGTCTTCTGTAGTTGGGAGAATAAAAGGATGGGCACTCTAACGTGTGAAACAATAAGAACAAAAGCAGAGAACCTAGAAGTGCAGGGCGAGCTAAAAGATGCTCAGAGGAGATGGTTAGCCCACCCACAGCAAAAGCTGCCCGGAGTCTTGGAGGATAGAGGGGTGGTGCCAGGGCCCTAAACACGGACCCTTTCCTTTACTCCACTCCCTTTTGATTTTTTTGTTTTGAGCTTTTTCTATGGGAGCTCTCAAGAAAAACAGATGGAAAGGGGAGTGTACTCCAAGTTGCACTGAGATGGAAGGTACAAGAAGAAAGAGAAAACTACTTCAGGAAGCTTGCTGTTCTGATAATACCAAGTAGCCCACTCCGTAATTCAAAACTCAGAAACCACAGAAATGTTGGATATAAAGGAATATTACCCACAATCCCACTAGGCAGACAAATCCGTGGTTAACGTTTTGATTTTTTTTTTAATATTTACTCAGTACATACTTTTTAATCACGTAAGCCTAATCACACTGTATGCAGTTTTGACTTTCACTCTTTTCCCACTCGTCATTTTCACATAAGGATTTTTTTTGTGTGTGGCATTGCAGCTCTATGTAAACATTTTTAATGACTGCCTAAGCTTATGATTGTATCATGTGGATATACCAGAGTTTATTTAACCACACTCTTCTTTTCAAACATTTGTTTCTTTGTCAACTTTTGGACCCTGTCACTAAGGTTTGGGTGAAAATCCTCGTGCATGAAAGATTTTGCTGCATTTTGGATTCCCGCATTGGGACAGAGTCCCAGAAACAGAATTACTGGATATCAAGGGTAAATGGCATCTGTTAACACCTTGGCTACAAAATGCCAGGTATCCTGAGGGCGGGCATGGCACTGGAGCAGGCGGCATCGAGGTGTCTCAGAAAAGGAGGATGAAGACCACAGGCCTGAGAGTCACACGTATCCAGGTTGAGATCTGTCTCTGCTTCTAACTAACCTTGACACCTCGAGTCTCCATTTCCTTTGTCAATGAAACAGGATTTCTCAGGAGTCTGCAGGCACGTCTTTGCTGCCTGAGGGATCTGAACTCTTAACTTCTGTCTACAGGCGACCTGGTGTCCCGAGCAATGCATCACCTGCAGCCCCTCCACGCCAAGCACCACGGCAACGGCACCCCCCTGCACCACAAGCAGGGGGCGCTCTACTGGGAGCCGGAGGCCCTGTACACCCTTTGCTACTTCATGCACTGCCCGCAAATGGAGTGGGAAAACCCCAACGTGGAGCCTTCCAAAGTCAACCTGCAGGTGGAAAGGTAAGACTTGCCTTCGCTTCGTCAAAGAGAGGAGGAGCTCCCCTCTGGCCATCACCGCTTAGTGGGGGGAGGGTGGGCACTGCCTCCTTCCACGGAGGCACAGAGGTGGGGGAGGGGAGGGGTGCTGGGATCAGGATTGCCCAGCTCCCAGAAATTCACTGGAGAGGTCCAGGTGGGAACCATGTGCCTGAGGAGGTACCTGAGACCCTGGTGGATGGAGTCTTGAAAATGAGATTTCATAGAGCAGGTCCAGTACCAGGTTTAAAAAAAAAAAAAAAAAAAATGACCTAGGTCAGAAGAGCAGTTTTGCCAATTCCGGAAAGGGGGGTGGGAAGGGGAGGAGGAGGGGAGTGGAGGTCTGAGTAGTGCAGCTTAGCTTCCTTGTGAAGGCAGCTTTGGGGGCTGCCAGCTTCTTGAATCTCATTTGCATTTCATTCTTGCTGCCCGAGACCCTCCGAGGGGTAGGGGGGTTAGACCATAAATACCTGCTCATCCAGAACGGGCCACGCAGGTGGCTGGGAGACGGGTTTGCTGGGGTAAACAGAATCCTCACGGGAAAGAAAAGCAGGAGAGAACGAAGGGAGAGCTTGAACGATGAAGCTCCCTCTGACCTGGTTTCTGCTGCTCCTTGGCTCCATCCTCCTGCATCCCTGGGCCTCAATTTCCTCAGCGGTAAACCAGAGGCTGGGCTAAGTGGTTCCCAGGTTCCCTTCTTTCTGGAAAACCCTAGAGTTTTCTGAGGATAGCTTCACCCTGTCAGAGGCAGGAGGTCTGAAACCACCCTGCAGGCATCCCTCCTTCCTCTGGTCCACAGAGTGCATCACCAGTCAGGCCCCTCCTCCATACAGGCCTCTTTCCTTCAGCTCCTGTGGCAGTGACCCCTGTTGGTCAGAACAGTGGTTAAGAGAGCAGGCTCTGTGACCCAGACACTGAGTTCAAATCCAGGCTCTTACAATGAAAAGCCAGGGGCTTTTGGGCATCATCTGCGTACCACAAGGTTTCCAGTTCGATCCCCAGGCAGAGCACATGCCTGGGTTGCAGGCTCGATCCCCAGTAGGGAATGTGCGGGAGGCAGCCGATCCATGTTTCTCTCTCTCCTCCTTTTCTCTCTCTCTCCAAAAATCAATAAAAATATATATTTTTAAATCCAGGGGGCTTTGGGAAAGGGCCTTCAGCTCTTTGTGCCTCAGCTTCTTCATCTACGCAATGGGCCTACTAAGAGTAATCCCTTCGTGGGGCCGATGGAAGATTAGATGAATTGAATGGTGCTCAGCACCTAGTAAGGGCTCAATAAATGTTCACTTTTTATTGCTGTAGGCATTACCTGCCTGTAGCTACACAATTCCCATTTGGCCTCAGTGCAGTTTTCCTTTCTCTGTTCAATGTTTCCGGGTTGGTTTGAAATTCTCGTTGGACGCTCTGTGCCTGCCAGCATGCATGAGGGCTTAAAAGTGGGCTCCGTCACAAAACCACGTCTCTTGGCTTTCAGCTTTGGGAAGAAGATGGAGCGTGGGCTAGACAGAAGTAGTTTTAAAAAAAGAAAAAAAGAAAATCCCATGTTAGCTTGAAGATTTCAATCCAGTCTGGAGTTAGCTTAATCAGGAAATTACTCACGTCTCCCGCTACCCAGGCCAAGTCAGTGGGTACCCTGTGCCTCTCTTCATGTGCCAAACATGCCCCAAGAGAGAGGTGGCAAATATCCCTGGTCCCCCGGCAGAAATAACCTCAGTCAGACACACCAAGACGCCGCTCTCTGTGAGTGTGAACCCTGAGAGTGGAGAGAATGGAAGCCATTGGCCTGTGAGGAGCCTGTGTCTGCAGCCCCAGCCCGCACACTGCTTCCACAAAGCACAGTTTCTCTGACTCCGCCCTCAGCAGATGACCCCTCCCCATCCCCAGCCAGGCATCGCCTCCTCTGACCTCCATTCTACGAAGACCTCTCAGGCTTCCACTTTCTGGGACAGGTTTTAATGAGGATGAGCTGCGAGGGAGAACAGGAAAGAAAACATGGCCCAGGATCTGTGGGAGTCACATACCTCAGTCTTTCCTTTTTTTTTTTTTTAAATTTCGGGCAACAACACAAAACACAAAGTGGAACATGTCATTTTTGAGTCCCGTTCACGTTGGTCCTCTGATAAAAGTATGGATTTAAGAGTCAGGGCAGCCTCTGAGTTTGGGTCCCAGCTCTGCCTCTTCCAGCTCTGAGACCTTGAACAGGTCATTGCATCTCTCTGATCCTCTTCCTTGGCTTTAAAATGAGAACAAGACCAGCTTGTCAACAAGGAATTAGGTTCATGGCTAAGACATCCAGAGCCATACCTGCTACAAGGGGATCACCCTTTGTCCCCATGTCCCAAAAAGTAGCTGATATTACACTCTTTTATTGTTGTTGTTGTTGTTGTTGTTGTTGTTCTAAAATACTGTTATCATGTCCCTACCGAAGCTTGTGTGTGAGAGAGAAGCTATTTCCTCCTTTCCCTGATGGGACAGGCATTGGTGTTTAGCATCTGAAAACATAACATTTCCTTCAGACGGGAGAGGGCCTCTCACTGTTTCAGTCAAGTGTTTACACCGATTGCATCCTAAGTCCTCCATCAACAAGGCATTTCCAGCGGGAGGTAGGCCTCAAATCAGGAGTTGTTTTCTATCCCCCAAAGCGAACAAGACTTCCTTGACTCTACTTCTATTCTGGAAAAGGCAGGAAGGGCCTTGATGCTCAGGTTTTCCACGAGTCTGGAAGTTCTTCCGGGAGCGGGGCTGAGCATCGCTTTTGCTCATGCCTAGCAGAAAGCCTGAGATATATCGGTTGATGGACATACGGATTGTGTTGTGCCTGAAACCATTCCTCCCTGTCTGCAGAGCCTTTCTTGGCCAGAGCCTTTGGAACAAGGCCCAATGCACCATTTTACTCTCTCCTGCAGGCACAGCATTAGAGTTGCTGCGTTTGTTTTGGATAGCTTCATTTTTCACGGTGGGGTTTTGAAGAAACCCAGTGCCAGTCTGAAGTTTTTGTCATTTAAATGTTTCCAGAACTTGGGCTTCTCTTTTTTGAACTTCTGAAATGTTTCAGGTACCTCAGATATTTTTTTTATGAAAAAGAAAACCCAAATAAATCTTGTGAGATTATGATTAGGCAATGTTGATTTTCCAAATAAGAATAGTTAAATGTAAACACCTTAATTCTGAAGGTAGGGGTCACGTGAGGCTGTTGTTTTTAAATGGAACCATCGTAAATCTCTGGTAAGGTTTTCTTTCCCTCTATCATTACTGGAAATATCAGTGATTCCTAGATGCATTTTGGTTGTGGATGATTTCAGTCATTTGTTGCCACAAAATGAAAAATAGTAGGATAAATAGAAGTATTCTGTTGCCTGAAGTAGCTGGTAATGCCCGAGAGAGATGGTAATCAGCAGCTTCACCTAGAACAGTGGTCGGCAAACTCATTAGTCAACAAAGCCAAATATCAACAGTACAGCTTCCAAAGATTGAAATTCCAAAGATTGAAATTTCTTTGGAGAGCCACATCTTTTAAACTTAAACTTCTTCTAACGCCACTTCTTCAAAATAGACTCGTCCATGCCGTGGTATTTTGTGGAAAAGCCACACTCAAGGGGCCAAAGAGCCTCATGTGGCTCACGAGCCGCAGTTTGCCGACCATGGACTTAGAACACTAGACAATTAGGCAGTTCCACTCTTCCCCAGTCTCACTAAAAACAAACCAGAATGTGTACATGGGCAGTGGCGGCTCTCAGTCCTTTTACAAGAAGAGCCGTGCGATGTGGTAAGACTATTTACTAGGGGAATCGCAACCACAAATCCAACTATTCCATCACCACCCACTTAATTGAGGAAAACTAGAGGGAGAAGCAAAATAGTCTTAACAAATGGAAGCCCTGACACTTAAAGAAATAGGTTTAATAAAGCAAAAACAACTGCCACTAGAAGTTACTGGTGCCCAAATATATCTTCCAGGACATTCACCCTATTGAAAGATCACCTCAGCTATATCTGCTCTTAATGCTTTTTCATCTCTGGCCTTTGTGACAAGTGATTTTCAAATTTTAACATTCTCCAATGTGAAATTTCCAGCATTCTAAGTATAACTCTTCCCCATTCTTTCCCATTAAGGGATGTCTCCAGCTCCAAGTGAGTGGGAGCATCCTTGATGCAAGCAACACTACTAATAGGAATGCTTAGTTGTAAGAGTTGAACCTACTATGACTGCTTAAAGCAAAAAAATAAAACTTCGAGGGGGGGGGGGGCAGTATAGGCAGAGGTTATCAAATCCTTTTTCCTTCCTCATGAGAATTTGACCTGGGTTCATTCGTGAACTCTGTTTCTCTGGAAATCTGCTAAAATTTTCAGTATTAATCGTGTTATTAAGCAACATGGCTTGTGGTCAGATTGACCCTAGATGGCTAAATTAGATCTGGTTTGATAGTACTATAAATACTTCACAAAAAATCCAGAGCTTGGGGCTGCTTGGAATTCATTGACTCTTATAACTGGCAATGTTTGTACAGGAGTCTTGGCAGCTGTTTTTATGGAGTTGTTACAAGAGATATTGGGGTGCAGCCCTAACCAGTTTGGCTCAGTGGATAGAGCCTGCAGACTGAAGAGTTCCAGGTTTGATTCAGGTCGAGGGCATGTACCTTGGTTGCAGGCACATCCCCAGTGGGAGGTGTGTAGGAGGCAACTGATCGATGTTTCTCTCTCATCGATGTTTCTAACTCTCTATCCCTCTCCATTCCTCTCTGTAAAAAAAATCAATTTTATATATATATATATATATATATATATATAATTTTTTAAGACATATCAGGGTTCATAAACTAGGGAAGTTTTCACATCCCCCAAGTGGATCTCATCTCCTTGCACCTGAGTGTCACCTGGATGGAAGATAGCTCTGGAATGCCTGAGGGAATTGCTATTAGGTCTTCTACTCAAAGGAACATCTGATGGTGTCCCATGGTAGTCCCATGAGTCTAAATGTTTAGTGG